ACACCTTGGAAAGGCACCATCGTGAGCCTTTCCAGTGAATTACTGCTTTTATTAAAAGCACTGCTGTCGGCTAAGCCTGCATACTTTTGCTTCCCTCAAACAAATTTCGATCTAGTAAGGCTTCTCCATTTTGTGAAACGGTTTTCTGTTCAGGATCCATAAAAAAATTTTTCATAAGCGACATTTAAAATTTAACCCAGCTGCCAATTTCCAACAAGCAAGATGGCTACCAGTTACCACCTCGATGTGTAACAGATTGACAAATTTTATTAGCTTCAAGTGATATCCCATTTCATGTGAACCTGTTTAACTTGGGTAATTTGTATATCCTGCAGCCTGGGACGCAAATAGTCCTGGACGAATCGGGAATCGCAAAACGATGTGCTTGCTTCTGACACTTTTTTTTTTCTCAGAAATCCTCAAGAACTGTTCAGGTTATGCACTAACCTGGTGTAAACCTTGCTGCCATATTATCATTCTCGTAATAGAAGCGGTCGCATCGTTTAAGCCTCTGGAACTGCTCGGCAATAATGCATGCCAGCATTGGTCCCACCAGTGCACCTGAGTTTTTATGCCATTACAAACTCATCACGGCACAGGTGTACTTTTGCTCTGGAGTTTTATTCATGACTTTTCTAACTACTCTCTCCTCTGCTCTTTACAGTCCTCTGTAGTGGTTTAGGGGACTACTGCTTGTACTAAAGCATAAATAAGGAAAAGAAGGAGCACGGGTTTTTCTGAGCAACGGCATATGTAGAGCATAAAACAGGGGCTGGTTTCTAAATCTTTTTTTTCTCTCTGGATCCCTTCCCTCTTCCTCCGCAAAAATTCATGTCTTCAAAAAACCTTTCATTGGTCTTTCAGACATGATGCCTGGGAACAAATCAATATCATCCACATGATCGTAGACACTTTTCATTGCAGCAATTGTCCCATTATCCATTACGTCTTTTAAATCGTCGAAATTTTTTAACCGATGCATTCCACACATTTCACTGCAAAAAGTTATGATCAAAATTAAGAATGAAATTTTTTTTACCTAGTTGTCTTTGGCTGACCGAGTTTCTCGCATTCTCTGCAACATTTTTATTACACATTTTAATTTCCAGTCCAGGTAGGGATTTTTGAAAAAAAGTACTAACTGACCGATAAGAATTATAAGGTGGTACTCCGTGGTCTCTAGCTCGCTGAATGTTGAAAGCTGGGAGATCCATGCCTGTGAGTGGCCCACCAGGCCGCTGGAACAGATGATTGCGCACTGCATTGCTGATATGACGATCAAAATCCATGCTAAAAGGCACAGCTGTACAAAAATATATTTGATTTCATTTATCAAAAAAATATTTTTAATTTTTTGCTTGCGCAGTGCTGAAGCTATGAAATGAGCCAGTGTTTAAGCACGCAGCGACAGTTTGTGAAGCAGTGCGAAAGCTGATTTCGAACCATTTATCTGCTTTGCTCAGCGAACTAACCTGCCCCCTCTCTTCCCTTTCCCGTTACCCTATCCCCATTCCCTGATTCATCTCGCGTGTTTAGCTTGCTCAGCCCTGAGACTAAAAAATTTACAAGGAACTGTGCCTGATGTCAGAAATAATGGTGCAGTAAAGAATGAAGTATTATTTTAGTCTTTAATTCTGAACTGGGTGGTAAATTAATTCACTACAGTTTTCATCCCGTAGTTTTTATTTCTAGAGATATAAAATTACTGCAAATTCGAATCGGAGTAACAGGTCAGAGCAATGAAAGACTCAGAAACAGAATTCAGTTGCCAGTCTTTCTGTGCATCTGTATAAATAAACATATAAACATAGGCTGAATGTCTTTTTTAACGAATAATTCGTATAGCAAAGTCATGCTACGTGTCTTTATGTGCACCTTTCGATAACAGAATTGAACGAAGCTAACAAGATGAAAGAGGAAAATTGTTGCTCACGGCCATCTATAAGGCCAAACTGGAATTAGCTATTAAATGTTGTTGTCCTTTAGTCTTTTATTTTAGGTCCAAAGTCCGACTGATGTTGCAGAATAGACATGAGTTCAGAAGTCTGGGTTTTTAGCCGGCATTAGTTTGAAGTGAAATTCTAAACTCATCTGTAACATAATTTGTGCTTCCAGGACTAAACTCAGAGGTGTTTTAGAACTCTAGAACGGAACATAGCCCAAGTTTGAAATTCTGATAGTTTGTTCCATCAAGCAGTGCTCGGTGAGGGATCTAAAATCAGCATGTCGTGTTGAACCTTCAGCTGCATTCCCGCGCTCATATCCAAATTCAGATTCATAGCATGCATAGTTTCAAGGCAGCAGAATTTCTGATGAGATGTACTGTACTGTGAAAGCTCCTTCTGTCAATCTACCGTGCGTCAGCAACTCTTCTCAACCCAGGCTGTAACGCATCAGGCTTACCACTGCTATCATGCTAGACTTGCAGAACGCTAATAGCAGGAATGGTCCCTACAGCTGTAGTTTAACAATTGGACTCATATTGGATATACTTTGACCTTTTCTGGCATGCAGGGGGAAGGGCGTCAGCCGGATGAAGGTGTTGCATTATGAGACCACATGGACCTCCAGCGTGCATGATTTTCAGTTTTTTGCATAAAACCCGTCGTTTTTTCGGTGAATGCTCGCTAATTGAAAATTATTGGCGACGCGCACTGGGCGGGCCCGTGCGATCATGCGTTTTTGCAACATTTCGTGCTGTAATGAGATTGCTCGAAACCCAGTAGCTAGAAGTGTGTGATATACTGGCCCTTGAAATCTGGGAAGTGTGGACGGGAGACAATTCGTTGAAATTTCAGTTTTCCAAATTTTCTGGTTCTTGAGTTAGTAATTTTCCTGCCAAAA